CTCCTCCGATTACCGCACAGTTGGTACTCCGAACTGCGAAAAACTGAACTTGAGACAAGCGTGCGTCGCTCTCTGTCTTCTGTCTTCTGCCTTCTGCCTTCTGCCCCCTGGTCTCTGGTCACGGATCTACACGATTCCCCATTCCCCCTGGGGACGAGGTCGCACCTGAGGCATGTAATCGATACGGCCAGGCAGTCGAGTCGTCGTCCCAGAGATTTTTATCGTGCGAATTGTTAATACTCTTTTCACGGCATCGGACAAAGCCTGAATGCGTCTGTCACCGATACTCGGCCATGCCTTTAGTTGCTGCGGATTGCAGGGAGCGGGGTGCGGAGTGCGGAGTGCGGGTGCAGTGCGAGTCAGAGGGGGGTTGGTAGTTATTAGACGACTTGCATTTGTCAGCAAGTTGGCAGCACCGCTTAATTTGCACGCCGTATCGGGTGTCCCATCGGACAGCTATTCCGGGGAGTGGGGCTATCACTGGTCTATTGGCTCGTGGGATGGTATGGGATTGTAGGGAATGGTGACTCATCTGGTTGCACTGTCCACCTCCGCCTCCGCCTCGGCCTCCGCCAATTGGGGAATCATCTTTCAATGTTCTCAAATTTGTAGTCATTTTCCTTGAATACCACCGAGGCTTGTGTCGACATGGCGTATGAACAATGTGAAATTCCTGAGAAGCACCAAAGGGCAGTGTCTCAGGCGATTGGCAGGCGAATTATTAAGATTTTCTGAAATTGAAGTTCCCTTTGTACAGATGTACAGTTTGTATACCTCACTGCCACTCCTCTGGCCGCAGACAGCAATGGCTAAAACTTTAAATACGAGAATTTCAATGTAACCCGATCCCGAGGTTGTGCAGCTCTCGCAGCCTTGTGCGAAATGTTTCGTGTTCAGCTTCCAAGAATACATACATACATATATGTACATGTAGGTGCATATCGTGCATATGCATGTACAAAACTCGCAAAAGTGGACACAGAAATATCTCGTTGGGTTGTTTCAATTTCAAATGAGTATGCCCAAAAGAGACAACTTCAAAGGCAGGTCCAGACTAAGACAGTTTTTCTGTTAAATTTTAAAGAAGAGGCAACACAGAGACAGCTAGCTATCCATGTCGTAGCAGCATCCGTGCCAACACCCTTGTTGCAAATGCCACCCACCACGCCCCCGCCCCAAAAACCAACATCCAGCCCGCTGGCCGTAATGAATTCGTTCGTTTCTCGTACGGCTATTGATATCCTTGCCGGAGAGCAAGTGGGAGGTGGGAGTGTATGCATATGGGCGTGTGGGCGTTTGGCGTGTGGGCGTTTGGCGTGTGGGCGTGTGCTTCTGGGATACGTAAACACTATCGATTACCCGGTCACTGCAGTGCTGGGCCCATGCGTGCATTAATTGGACTCTTAAAGTTTAAAGGTCACCACGATTGGAGGTTTAGAGTATACCTTTCAGAAATGACCCCGATTGAAGCAATTAAACAATGATAAGACTCTTCAGTCAGCATTCGGTAACTCGACTTTCCTTTCCTTGTTTCTTTTCCCTTGCTTTGAACCAGTCCTTTTTCGCGACTCAGTGAAGACACCTGCCACCACACAATGATTGGGGTATTGGATTGCGCCAGTTACAGCTGCATGCCGCTTATCGAGAGGTTTTGGTCAGGCCACAGTCAGAGGGAGCATCGAATGTCTCTTGGGGAGCTGGGGAGCACGAAACTGTGGCATCAATTTCTAGAAACTCATCGTTCTGCCTCTGTCTTGTTCCAGGAGTTCGCTCACAGCACCATGAATGAGCTGCTCGGATGGTATGGCTTCGATGGCGTCGACGTGGATCGCCTGGACCTCACCGCCAAGACATCGCGTCTGCTTCAGAGTGCCGCCGCTGCGGCTGCGGTGGCCAGCCAACAGCACCACCTGCACCATCAGGACCAGGAGCACCAGCACCAGATGCTGGAGAGGAGGAGGACTGGTTTTCTTCGGAGCAGTCGCAGCTCCCTTGCTGCCGCGTATCATAGCAACAACAATAACAACACGAAAAACAATACCAGTAGCAATGGAAATGGGAATTCCAGTGCCGGAGCCGGTGCCGGTGCCGGTGGGAGTGGGTGTGGGCGCAAGGGCGGCGTTCAATATTGCAACAGAACGACGACGACTCCCTCGGATCATGATACGCGCAGCTCGCGGGAGGATGACTCCAAAAGTCCGAACTCAATCGGCAAGCCGGTCACGACAGTGGGGATGCTGACCACAGAGGAGAAAATAGGTGAGTACCGCCTAGCACAGAGGGCGTGCCCACAGTCAAGTAATTCGAGATCCCAGCTGCCAAATTCGAGTACGAGTGCGGGCGAAGCTCTGAGTGCCAGGCTGCAGTCTGGCCAAAATTAGAGTGTGTCCGAGTGTCCCCCCACTCATCTCCCTACAGCTTCTAGTTGTTGTTGAGGATATTACAATTATGGTTTGCGAGGGTTTTCGAAGCCGACGAGGGTGCTAAATCTTTCCGTGTCTATTGCTTTTTGGAATTTGATAAGTCGGACTTTTCATCTCTGGCACACCGTCGGCCCCACGCACCCCACGCTCCACCCATTCTCGTTATGAGCATTTCGGAGAGCAGGCAGCTTGAAAACTTTTGATAAATTCCCAACAAAATTTTGGGGGCTGCGCTGGCGGTGATGCGGCTGCCTGCATTATCGAATAACAGATTCATTAAGCTCCAAATATGGCTTGCACAATTTCGGAAAGCAAAGTCTTTCCCCACCGATGCAAGGAGCTAAATGAATTCTGAAGGATGCCATGGAAAATAGGAGCAGTGGGTGTACCTTTCAGGAGCCTTTAGCATTTGCGAAGCATCTCTACCTTTGCTAATGTTGAATCTTTCGTTTATCTCCGTTGCAGACTTCAACAACTGTTGCTGGTGCCATCGACCGATTGCCGAGAACGCGCCAGACTATCTGACCAGCAGCGATGGACCTCGCTATTGCTCGGAGTCCTGCTTCACACAGAGCCGGAGGGCGTGCTTTAAGAAGGCCAAGACCTGTGACTGGTGCAAGCACGTCCGCCATGCAGTCAGCTATGTGGACTTCCAGGATGGGGCCTCGCAGCTGCAATTCTGCTCGGAGAAGTGCCTCAACCAGTACAAGATGCAGATCTTCTGCAACGAGACCCAGGCCCACCTGGACATGAATCCTCACCTGCGGGACCAGGGCTTGGAGGCGGGCAGCGAAGCGGGTCTCATCACGCCCGATCTCTGGCTGCGCAACTGCCGCAGTCGCTCGGCCTCGCCAGCCTCCACGGTATCGGTGTCGCCAGGGCCTCCAGCCGAGAGGTCGGCGGGGGCCACCGCCAAGCGAATCTCGCCTAGCGTTACCCCGCCCAGCAATCCGAGCAAACCCTTGATCTCAGTGGCGCCCGTGTCCAAGCTGCTGGCCCAGAAGAGTCCCGCGCCAGCTGCTGCAGTCCCTCCACCGCCGCCACCACCCCAGCAGCGGCACCACAACTCCTTGGTATCGGGTCCTGGACTAAAGCCTGGTCGCCGCAAGCGTCCGCAACGGGGTCCATCGTCCTCCTCCGGTTCGGAGACGGTGGCCAGCATGCTCCAAAAGCAGCATCATCAACAGCAGCAGCAGCAGCACCAGCCGACGCTCAGCGCAGACTTTTCCGGATCCAGTGTGCCGCTGCCGCCATTATCCCCCATGCCAGAGCCGGCCCATCCCCACCCACAACAGCAGCAGCCTCCCACAGTGGTGCCACCCCAGGTCCTGGGCAGGGGCCCAACTGCCATACCTTCCAGCTACTTTGCCCCACCGCCCAATGGGCATCCGATGGGACTTCCATTTGGAAGGCATCCCGCGCAGCCGCCACATCACTTCATGCCGCCCCCGCACGGCATGATGCCTCGGGGATTTCCTCCGCCCTTTGGGCTACCGATGCCGACACAGGTGCCAGAGCATCTTGGTGCTTTCGCGGCAATGATGGGTGCGGTTCCGCCCGTAACCGTGATGGTGCCATATCCAATAATCATACCGCTGCCCATACCCATACCCGTGCCCCTGCCCGTCATGGACTTCTACAAGGCGCATCTGACACCCGAGCAGCGGAAGCAGTTCGACGAGGAGCGTGCCACGACGAGTCGCAGGGAGGACCAGCCACAGCCACTGGACTGCAGCAAGGCCAGGAGTGATAAGGATCTGGATCAGGATGGGCAACCAGAGGAGGAGCCGAAACCTCCACCAGAGCTCAAGGAGGAGCAGGTGGAGGAGGACGAGAAGGAGAAGGAGAAAGACGAAGATGTCGATATTGATGATGACTGTAATGATAATGATGATGATGAGGATAAGAAATCCATACCAAAGACAACCTCTGCCGGGAACGCTTCTTCAGCTTCAGCTTCTGCTTCGCCGTCGCCTTCGTCATCATCGCCAGCCACTGATGCGACCGCGCTTGAGACACACTGCATTGTCCGGGATGAAACCCATTCGGAGGCCGACCAGGACAACCAGAAACTGCCCAAGCTAAAAATCACGCGTCTGCAAACCAAACGGACCCTTATCCAAACCAAAGAGCCAACCGCGTCCACATCGTCTCCAGCTCCACCGTCATTTCCAGCGACACCTTCGGGCAGCAACGTTTCGTCCGAATGTAGTCGACCGCTGCGCAAGCGCAAGCGGATCATTGACTGCGACTTCCAGAAGATGGCACTGCGGGAGCTGGAGCCGGGCGATGGTGGCCACAACCAGGACAGCAGTCCCACAAAGGACGAGGACGGAGAGTGCAATATAACCAATAGCAACAACCATGGCAATGCTAAAGCTAAAAAGTAAATGTATTAGACTTAATAGTAGACTTTACAAAATATTAGTACGTATTTATCCATGAATGGCGTGTGTATGTGTGTAAACTGGACTTGAATATATGTATGCGAAAGCGCAATATAGAGAGCGGAAGGCGGAAGGCACAAAGTGCTCGAAGAGTCAGAATGAAATTGAAATAAATACAAAATTTAAATTATTAATTTGCAATGTGTATAATTGTGTGTGTTTCCACCTAGTCTACGCATAAAAGGATAACGTTATCAGTCCCTGAGCAGCTTACAAGGTGCTCTGCTGCATGCTAAACAAATATAACTCAAACTGAAGGTAGCACTTGTGACTACTCTGGTAGCACCTTTTAATTGTACAGATCCCAGAGCGAGATCTGGCCGTCCATGCCCGCTGCCGCCATGATGGGAGCCCGCCACATAGCCACCGGCTGCTGGGAGTAGGCCAGGTCCATGACACCGCCCTGCTTGTGCTGGGTGAGCACGGCCAGAGGTCGGAGACTCTTCCAAGAGAAGATCCGAATGCGACCATCCCAGCCACCGCTGGCAAAGACCTTCTGGTCGGCGCGAATGCGAACACAGTTGACGCCCGGATTCTTGATGCACAGCTCCGAGCCGCGCTGCAGCTGCATGGATGGCCGCTGGTAGCTAAAGGTGGTCAGCTTGTCCGCTGTAAGTGAAGCGGAGAACTAGATTTAAAAGTCGCTAGTGAACCTCCGGCATACACTTACAGGCACCGCCAACGATGCCTCTATTCGTTATGGGGTCATAGTCCACTGCCATGGCATCAGTCGCCAGCTCGACGACATCCACCATAACACCAGAGCTGATGTCCCACGTCAGAAAGTGCCCAGACTCGTAGCCGGCCAGTAGGAACAGTGAGGAGGCGCAGTCGAAGGGCTTGAAGCAGGTGACGCTGCCCAGCTTGGGCAGCTGCGGATCGTCAGGCACAAGCATTTGGGTGGGGGCAGCCGAGTCCGTCACATGCAGCACTCCAATGGACGACTCCTCGCAGGGATAGAACAGAAGCTGCTCGTTGGTGTTGCTCGTATTCATATAAAGGGCTGAACGGCAGTACCCCAGATGATTTCCCAGAATACTGTGCTCCTTCACATAGCTGCTGTTGCCTATGGAGAACATCGTGACGGTTCCACCCTTCTCCTGGGTCACCAGTCGGTCGGACGTGTGATGCAGGCTTGTGATGGGCTCGCTGCCCACTTCAAAGTGCAGAGCCGAGCGATTTGTCTGCAGCAGAAACGTGCTTGAATTGATTTGGCAATTTGTTTTTGTTTTGCACGGAACCTACCTGTAGATCCCACAGGAAAACGCTGCCCTTGATGGTGCCCGCCAGGAGACGCTCGTTTTCCTGGAAGCAAACCGAATTCACGGCGCCCATGTCCGGGGAACGCAGGCTGAACACAGGATCTGGTGGTAGCACAGCCATAATCAAATCGTTTAACAAATTAAATTTGTAAGTGCGTGGTTTACAGTGTTTTGTTTTTATCAATATTTACAATTTACACGACCCGAACTACACGGCAACCACTTGCTACATGATAAGGAAAAAGATGGTATGGACGAGAGGCAGAACGGCCCAGAAAATCCAACGCATGCAGGGTAAAATCCACCCCTTTTTTCTAATATACCTTGTTTTCAAAGTATATTGTCCTTACACGTCGAGGTGAGGTTCGTGCGCACCTTGCAATTTTACGAAATTTATTCAAAAAATCCCCTAACTTTGGTATTTTGTGCGATATTTGTAACTGAACTTTTATGATCTGCTGAGTTTATTGATAAAAAAAAAACGGAGCTCAAAAAGCAATTTCATTGAATTTAACATTTTGTGGTTCTTTTAATTCAATCGAATCAACTGAAATGTTAACGATTTAATTATATCGATAGCAGTGTGCGACGCAAATGCAATAGAGGGCGCTGTGGCTGGCGCGCAACACAGCAAATTCAAATGGTGTGTTTTTTGAACAGTTGGTTGTCTGCGAATTAGAGCCCATCGGAAATGTTATCCAGTTGACGTTCACTGGAGCCTCTCAAAAAGAAAATAGGCTTAAATCTTAACAGCGAAAAATCATTAAGCCTCTAAATGCGCGGACTATTAAAAACATATCGTGCACCAAAGGCTTACCGGCTTTATTGGACTTTGTCAGCAGCGCAGTGCTTGTGTCGGTGCCTTCAACGTTAAGGCACAATCATAAAAGACTCGCTTGTCAGTTGTACTTGGGCCAGTGGTCAGATTGCGACCAACGAAAACGGGCCAAAAACCTTCCAGAATGTGAGTCTGTTGGCTTAGGGTGTATCTGTGTGTGTCTGCCGCAACAAAGATCGCAAAATAAACATGATATAAGCTCGTTAATCAATGCTAAGTTGACAGTTTTAAGTGGTTTTAGGGAAATAACATCACCAACGGCAAATAACTTGAGACTCCTGTAGTGCCGCAGGCTCCATATGATTTACTGACCCCGTAGCTGTGCGGATGCGGTCCCAAAAAAATGCGCTATATTTTAATTGAGTGCAAGAATTTATTTGACATATGTACATACCTATATAGCAGATATTTGGCTGGTTAGTTCTGCAAAAATTGAGTATTTTTAAAGATTTCAGACCCACCCACCTGCATGACCTCTGCCTGCATATCTCTTTTCGGATGCGATGCCCTTTACTGACAACTGCCACCGCTTGACTTGTTTACTAGACATCCAGACGAAATTGTAATTTGATTTGAGAGCAACAATTTAACACGTTTCCTGCATGCCCTGCCCCCAGTCTGGAAACAGTTTAAAATGCGGCTACAAGTTCATTTAACGGCAGAGCAAATCATAAAAAAGGGTTCAAGCCTGTATGGCCATTCCAGCTCATTTGCTTTCGTTTCAGTTTTTTGTGTCTCCTCCAGGATGATGGGACGGGGAGGCAGGAGAACGACAAGTCCATAAATCTTTTTGCCACAGAACCAGGCACCAGGCCCCGAATGGAGCCGAAGATGAGGACCCTGCTGGAAGTGAGGCGTTTAAACTATTTATGCATGTTGGGTAATCCATTTGAAATGGGTCAACGACTACAACAACTATAACAACGCTACGGCAACGGCAACGGCAACATCGACAAGAACAAGAACAAGAACAACGAGCACATAAAACTCCTTAAACGTTTCCAATAACCCAACCCAACCCAGTTCGGAGTTGAAAACATATTGGCTTGTTACCTTAATGAAGTCATAAATTTTCGCTATCGCATTCGGGGCATCTCCTCAGAGAGTAGAGCCCCAGAGCCCCAGAGTCGCAGTCCCATTTGGAGTCCCAGTTCAAGCCCGAAGCTACAGGTTTCTAAGGAATTTCATTTCCATTTTAGGATAGAAGACCAACTGTTTTGGCACACATACGGCCCGTTCTGGCCAATGCTCGATAGTTAATCAGGCTTAGTTTGATATATGCTGACAGAGTCGCTCTCTGGTGTAGGCCGCCACTCAGGCCCAGGCTCAGGCTCAGGCTCAGGGTACGGCACGGCCCAAGAAAGGACACAGGGACACTGTCTCGCGATCATCGTCGTCTGTAGGGAGGACAACCCGCTGGGCACGTATTCCGCGTATTTGCGAGGCAGGCTATGGAAATGAAGTTATCACGCGACAAACAATGTCGAGACACCCTCTTCCGCCCCGTCCCTCCACACCTCTCCCCCGGACAGCTGCCGGTCCGGACCGGGCATCCGTGTGCTACCAATAACTTTATATGGTTGTCATTATTAGTCTGAAATTAAATGGCTCTGGCCACAGAGGACGACACAGAGGACTGCCCGACTTATTTATGTGCTACCTTAATGGAGCTTCATCTACTTGTATATGAGACGGCGATCTGTTCTACGCACTGACTCCATCCCATCCCATCCTCATCTCGCATCTCACATCTCCTGCCCCCATCCTGTTGTGTTGAGTTCTTATTTCGCATTACTTTGCAATGCCCATGAATCACTTTATTGGGAAGACGGTAGGATATGCTTCTAGGTGTTGGTATTTTGATTCGCCAGCTACGATCCCCACTGGAGAACGCATTGGGTACGAGGAATGGATCAGGAAGAATGAAGGGGCGATCGTTGGAAGAGTAATGCCCAGAGAAATGAAGTGAGTTTCAGTGGAAACTTGAGAATTGGTGAGATAGCTCCTGAATACTAGAATAAGTTTAAAAACATATTAGTTTAACACAATGTCCTTCTATCTACATAGGCTCACAAATTGGCTCTAAGCAGGTGGCCCTTTCGTTCTATAGAAAGTGTTTGCCAGTGGCTGATGCAATGCAAATCCGTCCGAATCCCGACCCGACCCGACAGATTCCCCCGAAAAGAAACAGTTGGAAACTCCGAGCGGGCCTCCATCAATTAAAATATCGACGTCTATCAGCATTATTATAAATCAAACGATAACATAAAACTGACACTAAAGGCGTTTCGCCCATTTTTCATGCAGGCCGGGCCGGACTGCGGCGACGACGAGATTAAGGCCTCGGATATGGCATCGGTATAGGCATCGGCATAGGCATCGGCATAGGCATCGGCATAGGCATCGGAGATGGTGGCCAAACCTAACTGGAGTCACATTTTTGGGGCATTTGTGCTTGGATCTGAACTTTGTTTCGTATTTATGCAAATTATTCGTTGCAGACGGGAAAAACTGGTCCGGTCCGCAAAGTGCTCTCCGTAATTGATCAATTTCCGCTGAACAGGCAGACCGGATCGATCCGATGCGGTTCGATTCGATTGGATCGTTGGGAGATCGCTGAGAGGCTGGCAGACCCGCAGCTTCCATCGGAACGGATAATGTGATCTTCCACTGATTTATGGAGTCAGTCGGGGGCTTGGCTAATGAAATGGCACTTTAGATAAAATATTTTGTGGCCGTTTTGTCTTTGGCCCAATGGTCAGCCACCCACCATGACCATCTAAGGGCCAACGAGTTATGACACCTGGGGAAGGTGGTCACCCACATATCGGCGCTAACATTGGACATTCCACTTGATTGCCTCTCTGGCTCTGGCTCTGGCTTTGGCTCTACCTCAACCTCTCCCTCTCGATGGTCCCCTCCTGCGGCAATCAGACGCACTCAGCAAAAGTGCCAATCAAGCCCAGGACACAGGACACAGGACACAACAAAGGGATGCGTTCGCCTGGCCATAATCCTGGGTGTGAACGTCAATGGAGGGACCCTGCGGATGGACACGATGGCTGTAGCCTGAAATCGAAACCTTGTCTCTGGGGTGTCAATAACATTGTCCGAGTGACTGCCTCTGGGCATGATTGTTGGTGTCGCTGTCGCTGTTGCTGTTGCTGCCTCCCATTGATGATGTGAATGCGTTTTCAGCTCCATTGAACTGGCAGATGCGGCACAGTGGAAGACCGGACACTGAAATGCTTTCACTTGGGCTCCAACCTGGAAAGCGTTGAGTGTGCTCCACTGTACGCATGAAATTCCAATTTAATTGCGTGAATTAAAGTTGTAAATCATTATGCTAAGTGCCCTTTAATGTCTGAAAATGCAGCTCATTTGCAAGTGCAAGTCCCAGGCAGCACCAGCAGCAGCAGCAACAGCAACAGGAACAGCATCAGCCAGAACATCAAGCTGGGCCCCGAGGCCATGCAATCATCTCTGATGGGAGCTCAGAAGGAGCCAATGGACACGGACGGCCGGGGCACAAATTGCTGCTGGGCTGCCTGTTGGCTGGTGGCTGGTGGCTTCCACTACCAGAGGGAGTACTTGCCGCGGAGGAGCTGCCCAGGATTGAACTACTTTCAATTATCAATTATTAAGTTAATATCTTCTTCAGGCCGCAATTTGATTGCATTGAGGTGTCACTAGCCACTTACTGCCTGCCGTCATCATGGAATAGAGTTAATGTTTTCATTTGTCTGGGCTGTGGACTGGATGGATGGTGGATGGATGAGCAGTCAGCCCCTCCAGCACGCTGTCTCTTTGATTTGTGTATGCAAATGTGGGAAACCATATTCGATTCGATTTCCATTCGAATTCCGTTTCGATTTCTGATCGTAATGAACGGCGCTCGTAAGCGATTCCGTTTAATTAAAGCGCCGCTTAACCGACATCGAATGGGGAAATCAATTTATAGTATGCCTGCAACCAAATTGTGCTGCCAAAAGCCCGTCATCAGCAGCACGGGGTGGGGCGAGGCCATCGTCAGCATCGCATACGAGTATCTGTAATTACGAACAGGGGACCGGGGCTGGGGCTGGGCAGGCATCTGATAAACACCTTAAATATGAGCCTGTTAATTACTGTAATTTGTTGCCAGCCCCTGGTCGAAATGAGCCACTAAATGAGACGACAATCGCCACTGACGCCCAGGAGGATTAGTTGACCCAGTTCCAGGGGCCGGAACCGGCGACAGCTGTTGTTGTCCGTTGTGGTGGCATGCCACATCAATTATTCAGGGCCAACAAACTTGCAACTAACCAGCCGAAAGTACAAACAACTGAAAACCGAA